ATTTAAGCTATCTTCTGCTGCTTATTCCAGGCTATTAGCAGGGAGCTGGATGAGAAATGGAGCAGCTGGGGTTAGAACCTGTGCCCACATGGGATGCCAGCACATAAGGTGGGGACTTCACCTATTATGTCACAATATTAACTCCTTTTTTTTAATCATCTGCCACTTATGTACTGTCTTGTTATAAAGGCATGCCAACTTTAAAAAATTATTTGGAAACTACTTCTTTTTCAATGCTCTGGAACAGTTCATGTGAAATTGGTTGCAATTATTCCTTCATTAATTAATTACATCCTTCTGATATGTCACTTTGTTCTGTTTTCTTTGTGGCAAGAGTCTGAAGAACTATCCCCATTTCTGTAACCTTTTTCAGACTCTTTAGTTTATCTACTTAAAACAGTTGTGAGTTGTATTTTATAAAAATTTATATATTGAAAATTTCAAATTTATTGCAACAAATATGTATAAAATCCCATTATTGTATGTCTACCCTATTTAGTTATACTTCTTTTTGCTCCTTAATTATATTATTTACCTTCTCCTTGAAGGAAGGAACCAGTCTTCCTTTGATATTTAAATTCCCTGTAGTAGTCTGCCAGTTATTTAATTACTTTATCAGACAGAGACACAGAAGAGATAGAGTAGAAACAGGAATGGAATGTAGAGAGAAGAGAGCTAGCTGCAGATAGAGTTTTTGCCTGCTGGCTTATTCCGTAACTGCCCACAGTGATCAGGGCTGAGCCAGGCTAAAGCTTGGGGCTGGTTGAAGTTTCAGCTTCTTTTGCGTTTGAATATTCAGTTGTCCCAGTAATAATTCTGAAAAGATTGTGCACTTCTTGAGTTGACCTGGCACTCTGTTGGAAAAACAAAATCAACTGTAAACATGAGTTATTTTGGACTCTCTCCATGGATCTACATGTCTATATTTGTGCTAATTCTATATAACTTGGGTTTCTGTAGCTTTTAATATGTTTTGAAATTAATTTAAATTTAAACCTATCATTTTAAATAGGAAGTCCTTTCAATTTATACCATCCACCTATTTCCATAATTTTTTTATTTTTTTGTTAATGCAATTTAAAAATTTATCTTTCCACTTATAATAATCAATTTCAGTTACATAGTTATACAAAACGACAAGCATGTAATCTCCACTCAGCTGAGAAACAACAATGTAATTACAATTAAGCTCCTACGTATACATTCCCAAATATAGTATCTTCACATCTTGAATTTGTTTATTTTCTTGTATGATTTTGTACTTTACTATAGTTTCTAACCACCTGCTCCCTCACCATCCTCTACTATAGTCTCTAAATACTTAATTCTCATCCTCTTTTGAAGAACTGAAAGCTCTTGGAACAGTCATGGCTGAAGAAGTACAATGGCAAGTCTACAAAGTGACCTGTTTCAAATGAAAGGTAAAGATTAATTGTGGGTTTTTTTTGGCCACTTACTATGTTTTCCTTTCCATTTTTCTAGCTTGAAGGATGGACATGAGATTGAGGTAACCACCTTATCACTGTAAGATGACAAGAAAGAGGAATAAGACTGCTATACAATCTTCAGGGCAAAAATGAAAGGAGAAATAATACGGGTACTTAATGTGTGCTACAGCAGAATGCCCTACCTAGACTCCTGCATGAGATAAATATCTGATTTTATCAGCTCTAAAATGCCATTTGTTGTTAAGATACATAGTTATTCAACATACCAGTAGGAAAAAAAATAATAAAGTAATGATGGTAATATAATTTAATAGGCAAGGACATGTCAGATAAATATTTCTTAGAGTCAATGAAACATTTAAAAGTGGGTCTCCATTTTTAAACCATCATTAGCTGGAATTTTACATGCATTGCAGGTGAATGGCTTCCTTGTTGCAAACTTTCTGCAATAAACATACAAATTTAGACTGTTAGTGTATCTGAAAGCAGAGAAACCAAAAATTCACATTTTGCTAGATTTAGCAAAACTGATTTTTGTTTTAGCTCTGCAATCCAAGACAGTTGGGAGAATCCAGTAACCTACAAGCTTGTTAAGTCATCTCTGGAGCCACTTACTGGCAGATTTATTCCTTGCCTTTTTTTTTTTCTCACTCTCTCTGTAATGCACTCCTGCAGACTTACTCCAGCTGACTATGACTGATGAGATACATTCCCTGGACAGTGGGAAAAATGGGGTTGGAGGATCATACTGCATTACTCTGTCATTATCAGCATCCCTATCAAGAGCTGAAACTGCATTGGATTCAGTTCCTACCAAAAAGGCTAATCAATATCATAGCATTTGCATGGTGTTCTTTTTTCTGGTCTCTTATTTTTTAGTCTTTCATCCTAGGAGTGGTAGTAGTCTAGAGTTTTTATTCATCTCTGGAGAGCCCTCATCATCCCTGATTTGGCTTCTCGGCCTGTACATCACATCACCCATGTAACCAATTCCATGCTTAAATCTCTTTGACCATAAGAATATTTGAGGTAGGTTTTCTTTCTGTGATTAGAAATCAAGACAAAAATTTTCAAAAGTTATAGTCCTACATATTTATGGGTACTGTGATGATTTGATACATACATTCAAGCTGTGATGACAGTTGGAACTATTTGAAAAACTGAATCTTAAGTATTAACCTACAGTTATCACATGTTAAGTAAGAAATATGGGAATGTAATATGAGGCATGACTGGATTTGGATTGCCTCCCTACTGGGGAGATGGAAAGTGTGTTTGCGTTATTAGTAATATTTTGGAGTTGAAGAGATATGAAAAACAGTAGAAATAGGGCAGTTGGAAAATGTGGAAGATATTTACAGTCAATTTTTTTCTGACAATAACAATCTGATTTTCCTTTGGGAAATCACCAGTTTGCCACTTTTCAGGCAGTATCTTTGGTATTAACCCCACCACTGCCTACAGGCCTGGTCAATTTGTACATTGCATCTGCCTGGCCAAAGTGACTGCTCAGGAATAGCTAATGCACTGGTTACACTCAAGAAGCAAAGTTAGAGCCTTTGAAAAGGAAGAATACCCTGCTGTTTTGGACTTGGGGTGGGGATGTGCTTGTGATACCCCTAGCACTTTGTCACCTTTAGAGAAGGACATGCTTGAAGTCAGGCCAGGACATGGTAAGGAAAAAGTGAGAAGCATCCAAGAACAGATGATGGCATGTGGGGGCTACTGCTTTCAGCTAGCTGCACCCCAGACTTCAGAGGTCTTAGCAATGTCAGCTGGTAAATTCTTCTATGCCTACTTGAAATATATTTTCTTTCCTTCATTCTGTCTCCCTTCTTCCTTCCTTCCCATTTCTGAAAGAATCCTATATGCATCTATAGATTTATGTACTTACAGATTTTTTTCTCCCTTTCGCCTCTTTTCCATTTTGCTGAAAGAATTCTATTCTGAAATGCTTCTGCATTCATGCACATTCTGGAGCTAAAGATGATTCAAATTTGGTAAAAAGGGAACTTAAAATGCTATCTCTGTACACATACACAAATGTTCTTTTAATATTACCACATGTAGTTCAAGGACAACAGAATTTGGTTTAAAAATTGAAGGTTAATATATTTTCCCCATTCCTGGGGTACATTGCCAATGAAATGGATCCAATAGCATTTGCTATAAGAATTTAAGAAGGATATTTAAAAGATGTTACACTGCCATTTACAGCTCATAAAAGTTTATTAGCATATACTCAGTGGCATTTACTACTCACAGAAATGGTTTTCTCCTCCCTATTTGGAGAATGTTTTCTTCATAAGATTCTATGAATCATTAAAAACTGTTGATCTTTGGGGCTTGATGTGTAGTTAGTGGACATGTACATTACACTGTCTTCACATTTGTCTACAGTCTATTATGGCCTACTTATGATAAAAATCTTCATTTTCGTAAGATTTACTTTCAAAGGTGACGGTCACTTTCCCAAACAAAGTTAATGACAGTCTGGAGATTTTTCAAGCTCTTGAATGACTAGTGATGTTTTTAAAAAGACACTACTGAGGTTTTTTAAAAGTTACTTTTAAACTTAGTTTTGAAAAACAATCGCAAGATTCCAAAATGGGAAAAGAAAATAAATGTAGCTTAGGTTCAAACCCTCTTTTGGGGATGGTGAAATAAAGTTACAGAAATACAAACTGGAGTTGCAGATAAAGCAATTAACACTGAGAACTGCTCTTAGCAACTGCAGTGCAGGAAGAGGCTGTGCGGTCCTCTTCTCTGCATTCCCGTTTACTCTTCTATAAAATACACTACCAATACTCTCTCTTAAATACACTACCAACACTACATACTTGAACTCACAGATAATTTTGGAATTACATATTACTTTCTCTTAATCTATGTGAATCTTATTTATTTTTATTGATGTTTATTTTTTTTTACTTATTCAACCTTTCAACTTCATCTGGCTAAGAAGTATAAAAATTATCAATTTTAAATATTGTTCTATTGCTAAGGTTCATTTTAAAAAGGTAATGTTATATATATGTGTGTGTATATACACACACATACACATATAGAATTTGTTTACTTGACAGAAGGAAGAGCCAGTAGAGACCCAAGCAACATGTTTAGGGCATGGGGCAGAGGGATCTGCAATGGTCCTTCTTGCTACACCAAAGCCCTGCCCCTTCCCCATTCCCTGCCAGCTCTAAAGAAGGTCTCTGATAACTGCTCGGCCAGGTTGTGTTTAACTACCTCTGTATTCACACAGGCTGGGCTGACCCAAATGCCACACAGCAGGGCATGCAGATAACCACAGGGTCTGCATATTAGACAGTAGTATTTCCCAAGCACTTAGCTTGTGCTATGCATCTAGAAATTCCATTAGAACTTTCCAAGTACACTACAAAACACTGAAATGTGACAAAGCAGCACTTCGTTAGCATTAGAAGCTTCCTATAGAATTTTCATTACTTACCAATTCTCAGAATTGTTTGTGACATAGGAGCAATATCATCACTGGTGCCAGAAAGTATAATTTCATGCAAAAAAAAACACTTCTGAATTTTTTAAAACTATTTTTTTACACATAGAATTGCACATAATACAAAATACTTGTTTCACAAATTGAAGTTTTTACAATTATGGGAATGGTTACAATAATGCAGGTAATATTAGTGCATTCATCAGAGTTATTTATTTTCATTGAACTTAACACCAAGCCAAGAATGAATTATTTGTATAAATTGCCTTTAGACTTTGCATTTTTAAAAAAAGAAAAAATTACTTCTACCTCCTGTTACTAAGCCAGGGTAATTAACAACGCTAACGATTAAGTAGTCTGAGCTTTCTATAAACGGGTGATTGTATTCCAATAGTTCATAAATTGTAACTCCTAAGGTTTGGGCTAAACATGTCTATCAAATTGTCATTATCTTAGTTTTAAAGAAAATTACAGCATCTTTGGTAATAGGCTACCAACAAACAGAAACTATGGACTACACCGTTTTTCCAAAGAATCCTGCATTTTAATGAATAGCTGAATAAATAGACATTAATTATGAAATTCACATTAAGATAGAAGAAAATCCAAACATTCTGATTGCTTTATCTCTTAAATTTGATAGCTACAACAAAACATACTACTTATGTTAAGATGAAAATAAGCTGAATCACAGGAGTGTAACTGGGAAGTGCTGGGAGATATATACAATAACATGGATTAGCCATAAAATAAAAGTGTTTATATGTACACTAATTTTTCCTTTCTTGCTTGCATGGAGAAACATTGTTTTATAAAATGGGAAAACACACAGTAGACCACATGCAACAAGGACCAATATAATATGCACAGCAGAATAATCAAATAAGACAAAAGAACAATGAATTTAAAAAAAAAACCTGGAGCTGAACAAAAAAGAGAAAGAAAAGATTGAAACCTGGAATGCCTTCTTATTGAGGTTTCAGAATATAAATTTGTCCACCAAGCTTCTTGATAGTTTTTAAAAGTTTCCACTCAACCACCTATGGTTTAAGTGTAGAGCTAAAAATAAACAATCATATTATACAAAACTTTGTATATTAGCATACAAAAGGTAACAATTTACTTTTTGTATAAAATATAACCTTTTGATAGTATATTTAATTCACATATGTATAAATATAACCCCAAGAATATGTTTTAAGTATTTCTGGCAAAATATTCTTTACAAAAGTTTACAAAACAAGTCATTTATTTATATTTACAAACTTGCACAGAAAAGATCCTGGGCTAGTGATGTTGGTATTGTGTGAAAGAGTGCCTCCAGAAATTTCAAAGACTGAGAGGGCTTTGCCAAACTTTCCAAATCTGTGTTCTTTCTTGACAAGTGATTTAAAGACTTTGTAATAAAGCTGCTTGAGTTAAATGACATTTAATATTTGACTTTTTCAGTATATAACTAAGAGGGCTGAAGATAATATTTGCTCTTCTGTAATGAAGAAAATGAGAGTGCTATTTTGCATCTATCTGAAGTCTGTACATCTTCATTTTATGTCTGATTTCTATGTATGAACAGAGGTCAAATGAAAACAAACAAAAATACCTCTTTGATATGATGCTCAGCCCGGAGGGAGAAAGCCTGGAAGTGAAAGGTCCTCCAGTCATGCATTCATAATCTCACAGAGGAACAAGGGAATATCAGACCTCTATGAACAGACCACATTTTAGGTACCTGTTAACCAGATCCACATAGGTCTAAACGAGGTTGGACTGTTTTTTCTTTCTTACTTATGCATTCTTTTAAACCCCATGACACACATTTTTGTCCACTTGTACCTGCCAAATCTAGTTCTTATCTGTAACCAAAAAAGACGCTATCTTCTCATCTCTGTTTTGGTTTCCAAACTTCCTTCTCTTACAAACCAGTCACTGGTCATCAACAAGTGTAGGGAGCACAGACTCAGTTGCATTCAGTCTTGGGACAAACCAGTGGGCATCAATTACAATAAACACTACTCCTGGTTATGTGTTGTCAAATTCATCTTCTTTGTATCAATGTCCAATATTTTTCAGTGAAATCTGATGTATGCAGGTGTGCATCAATATTTCAGTATAATTAGGACAGCCTTATTTATATTTAAACTTGGTTAGAAATTGATTGTGAAAGCCAAAGTCAAGGTGCACAGCTCTACGTTCTTGTTTCACCAGTAGAAACATGGCATTCCACTGAAGAATAGAATATATAGGAGAACTATAAAAATGAAGGATGAATGTGGAGTTCTGTACTTCACTGGATGTTTTCTAGCTTCTCTTGCTGTCCCTTACTTAGGACACTATTTGGCTACTCCAAGCAAACCTATAATATATCAACCTGTATTGCAAGTTTTACGAAAATTAAATCAGAATGCAGAGTGGATAAATTATACCACAAATAGCTGCTACAACAAATTAAAAACATTTGTTTTTTGTTTCTTGGAATGAGTACCACTTCATGACCTGGTATTTAAGTAAGCTACGGATTCTATTACTTTTCTTTCAGGCAGAAAAGGAGATTAGGAAGCCTATCTTACACAATTAATTACACATCAACATCACAGTTCCTTTTGGATAAGTTGGATACTGTGTCCAGGAGTTTAGGTGGGAAAAGCGATCCAATGCTTTACTTTCAGGTTTGAGATTTTATACAAAAAGTTGGACCAAATCATTCACCACACAGTTGCTTTCTTCTTTCCATTTACAAGCAATGGTGTCTCCATGTAGTCCACCTGAAAAGTCACATATAGCCTTTACAGAGTCCTTCTAAAATATTTTCTTCTAGTACTTGGGGTTTTTATGTTGTTTCCTTGTTCTCTTCAGGAATTGTTCCCCAATATTTCATCAAGATTGATGTCTTTCATCCAGTCATCATTACCAGGTTCTGTCTTCAGTAAAGAATCAATGAAATCAGCATCACTGTTTAGGGCAGGGCCCATGTTGTCAGTCTGTTGATTGAGGAAGTCAAAAGTTAAGTCATTGCCATGGTCAGTTCCTTGAAAAGCCCTGGAACTTTGGTTGGGTGAAGGAAAGTTGTTCGGTGTCAGGGATGGTGGCTGGCTTATGCCTGTCCTCGGCTGATTCAATCCTGTCCCTGACTGATTGAGATTAGGCAAAATCTGTGTATTTAGCTGATTTGGTCTGAGATTCAAACCCCTAAGCGGACCCATGGTTTGTCCATTTAATGTCTGGTTCATTTGATTCATGGGTCTCATCTGCACTGCTGGTGTCAACTGGTTAGGAGGAGCCACTGCCCTCTGGGAAAATTGCTGGCTACCTACAGCCTGCTGCAAAGACTGGTTTTGGGTATAGGATGCAGGTGTAGCTGTGGAGAAACGAATGCTTCCAGACTTCAGGGCTTCCTGTTGTTTGGCTGTTGCTTCTTGAGAGGCCCAGGTTGGTCCTGTTGCGTTGGATGTAATCATGACACTTGATGATCTCTGTGCTGGCACGGTTGCCATGCTATGAGCTAGGTTTGGTCTCAGTTGTGAACTACCTACAGATCCTGCTCCAAAAGTGGTCACACTGTTATTGCTAGTTGGCCCTAAGGCAGGTGATCGGGGCATCAGAGGGTTGTTTTGATTTGTTATCAATTGGTTAGGATTTCTCTGTTGGGTTAGTTGATTCATTCCTGAAGTGGCACTGTATGTGCCAGGTTGATTACACGGAAGATTTCCATACATCCCGAGGTTCTGAACTGCTGTGGCTAATGATGGCATTCTTGTCCCATGGGAAGTAGACATGAGGCTGGAATTGGGGGTTAAAATGGTATGCGTAGAAACTGGGTTTGTCAGAGCCTGGTTAGAGTTTAAACTCACTGTTGATGAACCACCTAAGAAAAGGAAAGGAATTACATCAGTTCACAATAATGTTATTTTCCTCTTTCAAAGCAATTTGCAATAGCTTATGAAAGTTGAAACTGGCTTCAGTAATATGAATAAATTAAGACAAGTAATCATCAGATAATGTTATATAAAAGGGATTGTGGGACCTTGGGGTTTGGGAAGTATTACCCTAGATCATTCCTTCATCAAGAGTTTACACAGTAAAGAAACAGACTAAACATTATCATTGCTTTTCTAGGTCACTAACAGGAGCTGCTAGTCAACCTTTCTTTTTGAATTATCCTTGTATGCTTCAAGTCTAAATTATTAGCCAATTCATGATTTTTTTTTTATTTTACTGCTTACCCTGGGTTCAAATTTTAAAAAAAATGGATGGATAAATCCTAGCACACTATTATTAGATTAGTATTCTTACCTGATGGTCTTGGACGTATGTCCCATTCTTCACCTGCATCATACCCATTCAAGAAACAGCTATAAATGTTAGAGTCAATTTCTCTCTTTAACCATCTAAATTCAGTATAATCATGGCTTTGATGACAACTTCTACATAGAAACTTTTCTGTTTTAGAAAGTGTAGTTACTCTTGCATTACTATCCGACACACTATGAATCACCTTTGCTCATGCACATGATGTTTTTCATTGAGCCCTATTAGTAATTCAGTGTTCAAACCAAGACCCAAATGCCTGCACTAAGCTTTCCTTTATAATCCAGACTCTTCGTCCATCAGGTGTCTTTTGCCTTTCATTAAACACTTGGCAAACCATTGAGCCTGAAAGTCCTTGACAAGTAAACTAATGCCTGTCAATAACTGATTGAATATGGAACCTGAGTCACAGACTGCTGAACTGGAAGACTGCACAAAACAAATAGTGATTAAGCAACATATTGAAATCTTCCTGACTTGGGGAAGTTAAAATCATGATGAGAAACCATCTTGAGATGCAAAAAAGGAGCACCAGAAGGAAAAAAAGAGAGCCTACCACACAGTGAGTTCTCTGAGCAGAAAAATTTTGGTTTGTTCATGGTCATACTCAACAAGTCTATTAGATGGCACAGAGTAGGTACTCAACTGCCAGTACTTGAATGAAAGGACCAACGATTGAAATAAATACAAAATTTTTGGTAAGACATTCTTATGAAATATTCACCCTGCCCACCAAGAAATCCTAGAGAATTAGGTATTGAGAAACAAAGCTACACACACATATGAACATCAGAATGTCAGTGCAGGAGGAGAACGTGTCTCTGCTTACATCTGTTGCTTGAGAATTCCTAGTGTGGTATAAAATCTGGAAGACTGAAGGTTGTATGAAAACACTATACTTGCTATTCATTTACAAATATGCCCCCAACTAGACTACATACTCCTTGAAGGCAGGGGCAATCTCTTATCTCTTCATTCCCTGCACAGAGCCCTGGACTGTGTAATGTTTGTTGCAGAGCAATCAGAACCATGTAGCAGACACTTGAACAATAACTGAGAGTACACAAAATTCTAATGGGACCAAGAGACATTATTTTTGAATCTGGAAAGTTCGTGACAGAAATTTACACTATGAAAATGCTGTTCTGGGGCTGACCTTGTATAATGGGTGAAGTCACCTCCTGCAATGTTGGCATGACATGAGGGCACTGGTTTGAGTCTCAGCTGTTCCACTTTCCATTCAGCTCCCCACTAACGTATTTGGGAAGAGAACAGAAGATGGCATATGTACTTGGGACCCTGCACTAATGTGGGAGACTGAGAAGCTCCTTATGCCTTCTAACTTGTACCTTTAATCAGAATGTATCAATTAGGTTCTTAACGTATAAAAAGCTTGGAAAATGTAGTGTTTCAACTCTCATGGTTACAAAATCAGGATGTCTTTGAAGGACATAAAAAAAAATAGGGCCACATGCTTGAATATAAAACCACACTTAGCAAAATCAGAAAATAAGAAAAAGTAGAAGTGTTCATAAATTCATCCTTGTTCTTTTGTTTCATTTTATTTGAGAGGCTGAGAGATGGAAAGAGAGGAAGAGACAGATAGAAAGAGAGCTTGTCTATTGGGTCATTCCTCCACTGTTTGCAACCTGGAGCCAGTGTCACTCCAGGTCTAAACCAGGAGCCAGAACCTCATTCTGGAGTTCCCAGGTAGGTGGTGGGGGCCAACATATTTGGGTCATGACTCACTGATTCCCAGAATTCACACTGATAGGAAGCTGGACCAGATGCAGAGCCAGAATCAGGACCTGAAGTGAAGGTACTGTGCAATGGAATAGAGCTGTCTGTGCAGCCTCTTAACCAGTGCACTAAATGCCCACTCATTCTGTAGAAAATTTTCTCTATTGTTTCCTGGACCAATGAAAGCAACGAGTAAAAGAGAGCCCTTGGAAACCAATGGCTTACCACATGGAATTGTGGAGAGCTTTGGGCAGAAGAAGTTTGAACAGGTGCTGAATAGAAGGTAGGCAGTACAGGCTGGATTGGAGAGAGGTTCTTTTAGAGTTCAGAGCTGGAAGGAGAAAGATTTTGCAGGGAGTGCTTACCACCTACTAACTTATTTGAGAGGCAAAGAGAGGGACAGAGACAGAAATGAAGGGAAGGATATTTAGGGAAGAAGGGAAAAGAGGAGACAGAGACAGGAGGGAAGAGAGAGAGAGAGAGAGATCCTATCCACTAGTCCATTCCCCAAGTACCTGCAATAGTTGAGCTGCGAGCCAGGAACTCAACTCAAACCACGGGTATGAGGGACTCAATCACTTGAGCTCTCAGTGCTGCCTCCCAGGGCACGCAGTAACAGGAAATCGCAGTCAGGAGAACTGGGAATTGAACCGAGTCACTCCCATATGGGATAGGGACATTTTAACCAGTATCTTAAGCACTAGGACAAATGATCACCTCCCTCCCCCATTTTATATTTAAAAAGTGCTAAGTAGAAGTATTTCTTTATAATTAAAATAAAAGTCACCTTTGGAGTTTTCCAGAGACTTAAAAAAAGAGAGCTTATTTTTTTTTCGACAATTCCTTGTGGCAGTACTATTTATCTATAAAGGAGAAAGCTTGGGAAGATGGGCTCAAATGTAGAGACTAAATGACTAAGCTTATGCAAGTTACAGACGTGATTGTCTAACTGGGGGGAGGTATCCGATATCCTATACCACCTGGATAAGGATGATGATGTTGGGAAGAGAAAGGTTGAACCTAATAACTTAAAAATAGTTAGCTTCTCCGAATTCTCTGAGGTAGCGCAAATGCAGCAACATGTGTAACTAGAGGGCAAGAATAAGAAAGACTGCCTGAGGAAAGGAGTAACATATATTTAAGTGTGTCTTGAAAATTGAATGGGAGTTACAGATCCTAAAATGTAGATGATCCCATCAGATCCCATTAGTAGCATGGGAAAAGAAGAAGATATTGAAAGTCAAGCACTTTTTTCACATTTATGGTTTTTGTACTTTTTAAGAATACTTACCAGAATACTGGGCATTTGGCTGCATATTGCCCACACTTCTTCTTTGGTCTTTGTAGTCCGGGGGTGGCCTTGTCAAGTGTCGCTTTATCTGATCCTGTGGAGCAATTTTCTCCTTGAAAACACAAATGAATATGTAATAGAGTTCATTATTAATTTTCACTTATAAAACCACATATACTATTGTTCAAAAGAGAGTATAGAAGCAATCTACCATAGCATTGTTTCTTTCTAGCAGAGTTTTTTTAAAGATTTATTTTATTTTTATCACAAAGTCAGATATACAGAGAGGAGGAGAGACAGAGAGGGATATCTTCCATCTGTTAATTTACTCCCCAAGTGACCACCAAGGCCAGTGCTGGCCAATCCAAAGTTAGGAGTCAGGAATTTCTTCCAGGTCTCCCACACGGGTGCAGGGTTCCAAGGATTTAGGCCGTCCTTGAGTGCTTTGCCAGGCCACAAGCAGGGAGCTGGACGGGAAGCAGGGCTGCCGGGATTAGAAATGGTGCCCATAGAAGGTCATTGTGCAGTTTTCAGAGTGCCAAATATCTGTTCATGGACGTTTGTCTCTCTCTTTCCCACTGTTTCATTCTAAAAGCATAGCAATTCGCCAGGTTTCCTATAAATCTGTCTGGGGTCAGATGCATTTAGGTTTTTGGAATAAAAGAGTTGGAAGCTAAGGGAGGAAATAGGAACATTCTTTTAATATTGTAAATACCCTAGATTTGTTGTTGGGTCAGTTACTTGTTGAAGCAAAGGAGAACACATATTATGGTGGGCCATGGGGTGTGTTGGCAGGCACAGGTAGAAACAGCATACCATAGGATCTGGACTTCGGGTAATTTGGGTAGGACCTAAGCCAGTTTGGATTGAAGCTATAAGAAAGTGAGATTTTATGATTAAGTAATGAACTAGTCAGCACTCATTTAATAAGAAAGGGAGATATTTGGTACTCTAGGGGCTGCACAATGACCTTGTTTGTACATGATTTAGTCAAAATTATAATGAGGACTTATTTTGTCTCATTTTATTATGGGCTTATAGTAAGAGTGTCTGAGGTTGATGCATTTTTAAAGATTTTATTTATTTTTATTTGAAGGACAGAATAACAGAGGAGAGACAGAGATCTTCCATCTGCTGATTCACTCCCTAAATGACCCGCAATGGCTGGAGCTGAGCTAAACCAAAGCCAGGAGCCAGGAACTTCTTTCCAGATCTCAAATATGGGTGAGGGTCCCAAGGATATGAGCCATTCTCCAATGCTTTCCTAGATAAGCAGCGAGCAGGATCAGAAGTGGAAAAGCCAGGACATGAACAAGGACCACACTGAATACCAGTACTGCAGGTAAAGGATTAGCCTAGCATGCCATGATCTGGCCCCTGAAGTTGATCTTTCGTAAGAATGGTATGTCCGATACAGAAAGAAATGGCTAATCTATGAGCACCACATCAGTGATGGACATTAAGAACTGCTTTTTTTTTCTTAGTACAGATCAGGAAGTTTATAGTATTGCTTTATTGCAATGTGGTATGCATCCCAAAGCAGCCTTCTGTAATGAATAGGTAGGTAAATTAGCTGTAAGCCAAACTTTCACTGCCCACTGTAGAACTCATTTAAACAGTGCTTCTCTCAGTTTCCCATCCAATTGCAAACAGTCAAAGCAGAATAAATCTTCTCTAAAGAGGTAAAAAGGCCATACAACAACAAAACAAATTCAAATGCTTGTTTCTAAAACCCCAAAACTTGAAAAAATGTTCTTGGACATTAAAAAAATCATAAAAAAGCACAATTTTGATGAACTAAGTGTAAATGAACCAAAAACATATGAATTGTGTTTTTTTTAAACATGGGTTTACAAATTAAGGGGAAAAGTGGTTGCTAAAATTTTTTTCTTGTTTCTGCCCAGACCTTAAATGTATAAGAAATAGCTTAAGATGTTCCATGAACCCATTTATGGTGATGTGCGGCTCTCCCTGTTGCAAACTTTTGTTTAAAACAACAGTTTAGGATTTTACGTGAAACATCAGACTTTTTGGAATTTTCTCTTTTCCAAAAACATCTGTTATTTTTTTTCCTATATAATTAGGTGTTTTGGCTCTTTCCACTGAAGATAATAAGATGGATGTGTGTGTGTGTGTGTGTGTGTGTAAATTACCAGGTCTTTGATTATCTGTCATAGACTGGTTATAATTTGGATTTGTATTTAAACAGCTATAATCTAATTCTATATATTTTTATAAATACTTATTATTTATTTTTATTGGAAAGTTATATATACAGAGAGAAGGAGAGACAAAGAGGAAGATCTCCTGTTTGCTGATTCACTCCCCAAGTGACCAAAATGGCTGGTGCTGCACCGATCCAAAGCCAGGAGCCAGGAGCCTCCTCAGGGTCTCCCATGCACGTGTAGGGTTCCAAGGCTTTGGGCCATCCTTGACTGCCTTCCAAGGCCACAATTAGGGAACCAGATGGGAAGCGGGACAGCTGGGACATGAAACAGCGCCCATATGGGATCCTGGTACATGCCAGTTGAGGACTTTAACCACTAGGCTATTGTGTGAAATTCCCAATTCTATATTTTTAAAAAACATTTTTTGGGAGACAGACACATGGGCATGTACAGCAAGGGCTGTCTTCTTGGAACCATATCTATGGAATACATAAGATTCATTCTCTTTATATCAATAAAAATTAACACAAAAAGTACAAATTCTGGGGAAAAATATGACATGAAAACTAACACAATTGGAAAATCCTCAGTGCCACTGTGTAGGAGAAAAAGGACCTTGATGGAAAACTACAGCGAGCTAAGTAAATTACAGACTTCAGTTGGAGATCATATGCCAACAATTAGTTCATTCATTGATCCAAAAATGTACCATAGTAACGCAAGAAGTTAGTGATAAGATGAAACACGTGTGTCTGTATAGGTGTGAGTATGTACATGGAAACTATACAATCTGCTCAGTTTTCTGTAACTGTGAAACTTCGCTTAAAATTAAGTGAATACAATATCTGATAAAAACTAAAAGAAATATTTTTGAAGATCATATTGTTGCTTTGCCAAGTGTTAATACATACATCTCTGGAAACTTTTAAACTCCTTGTCCCAAACCAATCAGATCTAATGGCTTTGCTATATGGGCATAACTTAGAATAGTCAGGTTACCACTTTATACTGGAAAATAGCAAAGACAATGCTCAAGTATCAAATGGAGGCAGGTAACATTTTATGAGGAGATGATATTACGCTTCTACACTGTTGAAAAACAGGTTGCTCCTGAAATTACTCCAATGTGACAAGAAACATAACATATCAACTTTTAAAGACTTTATGATAGCCCCATCTCGGATCTGACAAAAACCGTTGCTGTGGTGTGTGTCTACCCTGCTTCAGTTTCCCTATGGGCAAACATGTGGGATGTGGATAATTTTAGGACTGCCCTCCTATTGTAGCCTAATCCTTTAATTCTGTAAAAACTTAGCATGGTGCCTTGGCACAGAGTCATTGCACAGTACATGTTGGTAAATAATTACTACTCTTCTCTCTGCTTCATGTTTCATTCGTGGGTGGGAAGATAATAGAAAGTAAGCATAACAAACTTTTCAGGGTAAAAACATCTCAATTTAGGCATTATCTGGCATTGCCAACTGACTGCAAATAACTACAAAGCTTATGCTAATGGAAAGTGGTATCAAAGACTGTTTCTTCCTGGATATGCAAAAAAGCCCAGGAACTCTCAATGGTGTCCAAACAAAGAGAAATGTGAATGGTTTCATTAAAAAATCACAAAAACCAGCAGCCTCATTCTCATTCATCCCTCACAGCCTTTGCTATTGCCCTTTGCACCTGTCCCAGTGGCGACTCAACTGGGGCTCAGCGGGAGTTGGACCAGTGTTGGATAGAACCCTCTTGGAATGTGTATAAACATTTGCTTGCCTTTTAATCAGAGCTACAAATCTAGAAATTCAACCTCTGCATATCATAATTTATCAAATTAGTGTCGAGAGTAATAAAAATAAATATATGTTCTCTCATACAAGGCAACTTCATGAAAAATACAAGACAAATTGAGATACAAGTGAACAAGTATACACATATATTCTCATAAATGGAGACTAGCATACTGGCAAGTGAAGATGTGTTGCAATATGCAACTCTGCTTACTCCTGAGTAAAAGATGTACTCCCAAGCAAACAGTTAAATATACTCTGACAATTTGATACTAGAATTTCTACTATTGCCTATACCTATAATACCACAATACACTTAAATAGCAGAATGTTGAACTTGTAAATGTTACTAAAGTATTTTACTACTGTAATAAGGGGGGAAATGGTGGGTAGGGAAGATGGTAGGTGGTGAGGGAGGAAGGGGAGTGGGAGGGAGAAATCGCTATAGCTACAAAAACTGTATCATGGAAAAAGATAGTAATAATAATAATAAAAGAAAAACACACATCTAGTAAGTTAATCTTGGATTACTTTTGTTTCTGAGTTACTTAGTTTGAAAGGATAATTTAAAGAAGGAGAGGAAGCAATAGACTAGAGTTTTCAAAACTATGCTCTGCAGAAAATACCACCTGTGACTCAGGCAGTAGCTCCTCTACATCTCACACATTAGGGCGGTGCTCAGTCACCTATCAACTTATTTTTTAGCATTTCTTATTTAAATTTATTTCTCACTATTTCTTCTATACACTCCAGGTTCTCAAATTATTACATTTGCCATTCTTCCAAAAATATATGCAATTATTAAATTCTTATTTATGCTTTTCATTGTTAAATATTTAGAAATAAAAGTACAATCTCCAACTAACAAATATACAGATAGCTAGGATGAGCTTTTTGGTTCTTTTACCATTAACCTACAGCAGGGGATCCCACCAACACCTTTGTTTAGAGTTCTATAGTCCTTCAGATCAAAATCAAATTTTCTGGGCCCGGCGCGGTGGCACAGTGGTTAAAGGTCCTCGCCTTGCACGCCCGGGATCCCATATGGGCGCCAGTTCTAATCCCAGCAGCCCCGCTTCCCTTCCAGCTCCCTGCCTGTGGCCTGGGAAAGCAGCAGAGGACTGCCCAAGGCTTTGGGACCCTGCACCCGCGTGGGAGACCCGGAGGAGGCTCCTGGCTTCGGGATCGGCATAGTATCGGCTCGTTGCGCTCACTTGGGGAGTGAATCATCGGACGGAAGATCTTCCTCTCTGTCTCTCCTCTCTGTATATCTGTCTTTCCAATAAAAAATAATAAAAATAAATCTTAAAAAAAAATCAAATTTTCTTCTTCCGGCAGATTGCCCTAAATCTTTTCAAGACATATTTAAACTCTCTCTAATATGTTTTATCTTGCTCTGTTTATACTTTTGCTATAAAGCAGCTCTTGTTTTACATTCTTAAAAGCCTCTCCATTGTGTTTCAGCCAATGAGAATCCTGGTCCTTCAGGCTCTATTACTTGGCGTCTCATCCTGTGTTTTCCTCACAAAAGCAACATGTATTGCTGACTGGAACCATCCCCTCTCTGCCTCCCATTTTCTCCTTCATCTTTAGTTCTTTGGTAGAGATGACTTCCTCTCTGAAGTCATTCCTACTATTTCCCAAAGCATTTCTGTCAATCACATACAATTATCTATTTACTTGACATCCTCAGTAGGACCTTGGAATGTTTAGAGAAGACAGAAGGGGCGTGTTACTGGTTATCTTTCCACGTAAATGATTAGGTATTGAATCACTGCGCTCTGCATTTCTAACTCTTACCCATGGATTTGCCTTCCCTCCCCCCCACCCCTCTTTCTATGAATCTGAGCTCTAGTAACCCGGAGTTGATTAACTTTGCTCCTTTCTTATTTCAGTTGGCCAAATGTTAGAAGGGACAGATTGAGACTACTGGTGATAGGGCCATGGATTAGGTGATAAAAAAAACATTTGGATCAGTTGCTGAGTATATGAGTATATCTGAAAATATAGAAAGTATGAGCAGATAAATATTGAAGCTGACTTAATGTTTGGTATTATGTGGGAAACATGACCTTGTATGTTTTAAAAGCTAACAAAAAATATGGTCAAAGTGGGGAATATCATTTCAATTTTCTCTTAAAAAAAGTTCCCACATTCTAAGATGTTTTATTTTGGAAGCCAATTCTTAGTTTTGAAACTCCATGTTGGCTTTCAAAACCCATTTATCTCAAAAACCAGTGTGGATTTGAATTGATTCAAGCTCTGTTCTCTATTTCTGCTCCCCTCGGGGCTGGGGAATAACACTGGTTTCTTTTGCTTGATTCCAGTGTCCGTGGTGGTCATTCTAGACATTCCTCAGCAGGGCAGGGCTAGTGAGCTGAGGTGCTGTGCATTCCAACTGTCCAGGAGCTGGTAAATCAAGTTTGTTGGCTTTCTGCAACACTAGAACGGTATGGAATTAGCTTCTCTTACAGCCAGGATATCCTTGTTGCTGTCAAGTCAGTAGGCATAAACAGAAAGGGCAGTAAGTAGAAATGGGAAAGAACAAATTCCCTCTATTGGGTCCGTTAGCACACGCAGGAGAAGCCTTACCGCATCAGCCAGCATCTGATGTTGCAGAAGAAGCTGCTGCTTCTGTTCCAGGATCTGCCTCTGAAGTGTCTGCTTCTTTCCTATCAACTGCTGATTCAACAGGGATTGTTGGGAGTTCACGAAACCGCTTCCAGTGTTTGGATTTGAGCAAGGGTTGGGACTTGGATTGGGGCCTGTGTTCTGGCCTACCACAGACTGTTGATCCTAAAGAAGAGAAAGGAGAGGAAAGCTACTGTGAATCAAAAGAAGAAAATCGTAGCATGAAGATCGTAACTTAGATTACAAACATTTTATTTTTTCATCTTGTTAAAGAGCAAACATGGTTAATGGACTGGAGATAAAAGAATCGCCTTTGAAGTGTAGAAGAAATAAGCACCCATCACAGCAGCCAGTGCAGCTGGGTCACTGACATTAGCGCCTTGGAAAACCTCCCTTATAACTCTGATGGTGGAATCTCCAATTCCAGAAGGTTTTTGTAGAATCTCAAACAAAATTACCATAAGAACATGTAACAACCCTCTCCAAACCCCAGGGACACAAACACATTGCAGAATCACTGAGAAATAAGTCCTTCCTTTTTCCTAGAGTTCCCAAGAAGCGCTGACTTTGCAAGAGATATGTTGCAATTCATGGGCTTGTAGCTTTAATAATCATTTTGCATCTAGGACATTTTGCCTCATCCAGCTGTCTGTGACAGAAAGGCAGGAAAACCTGTTGGTTTTTGTTTCACCAACACTCTGACACTTGGAAGGCACTTCTTTTTTCAGGTTCTTGATCATCATTTAAAAATTTCAGCGCACTAACCAATGAAAGAAAAAAATTCACAAATGATGAGACAGTATTTATTAAAAACTCACATATTTACTAATATTGGATATGATAAATTTCCATCCCATATTCTAGATTGTATTCTACATATGTTTGTACACACATACATATATAATATATATGTTATAAGAAGACTAGAACATATGATCCTAATCTTGGAGAGTGTGTCACTTTGGTGAGATTTCTAACATGTATGATTAAAGAGAAGGTAGCATCGAAGGTGGATGGTAGAAGTACTAAGTCAGATGGTTTACACTCTGATGACAAGCACCTGGGAAGCAGGTTATAAGGCAGACGCCCAAGCTTAGCTCCAAGAGGCTGTAGACCAGAGTACTGTTCAGGTGATTCCAAGGTTGACTGGTTCTGTGGATGCATTTTGAAAAATTCAGGATATTTGGTGGCAATAAAATCCAATTCATTCCCCAGCTGTGCTGAATGATATTGCAAGAGAAGAAAAGATAAAGCAAGAGGTAGTGTTGTAGTGTGGAGAGGGTTAAACCATTGCTTGCCTTGTCAGAATTCCCTGGCAGAGGGCCACCTAAAGTCCTGGCTTCCCATCCAAGCTTCCTCTTAACATAGCAGGGAAAGTCTTGGATGATGGGTGGGCCTCTGTCAACTATGTGGGAGACCAGGATGAAGTACCTGGCTCCTGGATCTGCTGTTGCATGCATCTGGGGAGTGCATCAGCAGATGGAAGATCTGCCTATTTGTCAGTCTGTCTTTCAATTTTTTAAAAAAGAGTTAAAGCAGCTCTGATGATATGATGCCTAATGAGTAGTATTAGGAAAACTATTCGTGAAAATTCTCCTCCATTTAATCCCTTTCACTTTGTTCAGTTATCTGCTGAACTGTCCAAATAAAGCCACCAGTCCAGAGCTTGGGGATGTAAGGAAACTGGTTTTGCTTTAGTAATCCCTGGGCTGCAGGGCTCACTAGTTGCCTCAAAAGCAAAGGGATAGAGTTCGGCGTGGTAGCCTAGAGGCTGAGGTCCTTGCCATACATGCACCTGCATCCCATATGGGCACCAGTTCTAATCCCGGAGGCATTACTTCCCATCCACTTTTGTGCTTGTGGGCTGGCAAAGCTGTCGAGGACAGTAAAAAGCTTTGGGACCCTGCACCCTTGTGGGAGATCTGGAAAAGGCTCCGAGCAACATACAGGACCCATCATCGAATACATTTACTGCCATGACAAGCCAGTTCTTTCAACATTAAAGCCACCACAGTTCCTGGGTCCTGCTGGCCACCAGGCATGTGGCCAGCATGATTTGCTCTTCATATGGATACTACATCTAGATCAGTGGAGCTGAGTGTCTGAGAAGAGTGGAGAAGGAGGTGTGGAGCACTGACAGTTGAAAGAAAAGAAAGCAGAGTCTAAGGCAGGTGAAAGGGCAAGGAGAGACTGGAGAGCAGTGCAGGCCGACATTTTGCAGGCAGTGGTGGGCCCTCCAGCACTCCAAGTCAAACAGGAATGACCTGATTTTTCCCCCTTTCCCATGTTATGATACAGAATTACAGGGTAGATTATGTGTGTGTGTGTGTGTATGTTTTAAAGATTTATTTCATTTTCACTGGAAAAACAGATTTACAGAGAGAAAGAAAGAGATCTGTCTGCTGATTCACTTCACAAGCAGCCCTAAACAGAGCTCAGGCGATTTGAAGCTAGGAGCCAGGAGCTTCTTCTGGGTCTCTGACGCAGGTGCAGGATCCCAAAGCTTTGGGCCGTCCTGGACTGCTTTCCCAGGCCACAAGCAGGGAGCTGGAAGGGAAGTAGAGCAGCCAGGACATGAACCGGCACCCACATGGGATCCTAGCACATGCAAGGTAAAGATTTAGTTACTGAGCCATTGCACTGGGCCCAATTTTATGTTTCTATGAAGTGATTGGCAATCAAGGAAATAAATTCAATATGTTTTTCTGTTCAGATTCCTGGGTAGAGCTATACAGGGGACTTCGCAGCTGGATTCAGATTCCAGTTCTAATGCATAGTGGTTGTGTAATTTAAAAAAAGTTAATTAACCTTTCTAAGACTTAATTTTCTTATCTGTAAGATAGAAAAAATAGCAGTACTGATTTCATAGCATCCCTGTAAGAATTAGAAAAGATAATACAATGCCTACTGCATCATCAGTTCTTAATAAATGGCAGCTGTTCATAAGGGTTAACTTATTTCAACATACATGAGCAATGGTTCTGTTTTTGTTGCTTTTGTTTTTGTTTTTTTCATTGTGAAGCAAAGGAGACCTGCCTTGCAGATTGCAGAAAATTGTTCTGTATCAACTTTATCAAACAGGTAGGTAGGACTCTCAGTTACATACAGAGTTGGGAAAAAGCTTTCCTTCCTTTTCCTTGGAGACACCAGATTATAGGATAGGTATCATTTCCTGCCTTATGGGGTGTGCTTCCTTCCTGTTGGTTAGGAACTCAGGTACTTTGTTTTGGGTATGTTGTTCTTCATCTAATACCCAAACCTATATTCACAGAGCAACCAGCATACATTTACTATGTACCATGCCTTTGTTGCCACATTTATAAAATGATGAAATTCATATAGTTGACATACCATTAGATCATGTGAAATTTAGCACAGTGTCTTGTACTCAGGAAGCCTGACAAATTTAAATGTTCAATTGAAACTTGATTATTTTTGTATTGTTGTATTAGAAAGATGTTTGAGGTACAGTCTTTACACACACACACACAGAGTAAAATTGTTAACATCTCTTCCTGAAGAACTCCCACGGCAAGCGTGCTTCATGGCTGTTATGGAGGGCTTGCACACATCATGGCTTAAACCCAGGTTGACCCCTGTGCTCTCCAGTTTACCACAGTCTTCACTATTTCTTATTCTATTCCACCTACCCATTCTCCTCTATTAACCTGGAACAAGCAGGCATTTCAGTTTAAAATTACTATTTTCCATTTTTCTGTGAAGATATACACACCATGTATACATACACATATTCAAACTTAGGACAGTAAAAATCAATGCATACTAGACCTGGTGTGATAGCTTAGTGGTTAAAATTCTTGCCTTCAATGTGCCAGGATCTCATATAGGCGCTGGTTCTAATCCCGGCAGCCCTGCTTCCCATCCAGCTCCCTGCTTGTGGCCTGGGAAAGCAGCAGAGGATGGCCCCAAGCTTTGGGACCCTGCACCTGTGTGGGAGACCCGGAAGAGGCTCCTGGCTCTTGGCTTTGGATTGGCTCAGCTCCAGCCATTGCAGTCACTTGGGGAGTAAACCATTGACGGAAGATCTTCCTCTCTGTCTCTCCTCCTTTCTGTATATCTGCCTTTCCAATAAAAATAAATAAATCTTAAAAAAAATCAAAGCATACTAATTTCTGTTAAATGCCTTAGTATCAAAACCAAGATCACCCAAAACCCAGTTTAGTTATGAATACATCTGTATTGATTCATTTAATACATTTTCCTATTAAAGCTGCCTATTTTTCAGATACTAAAAATTTATTCAGAAATAGGAAAAATGAAAGGAAAGAAAAATGGTGGTTGAGTGCTCTATGTTAACAAAGCTGGTGACCCTTGTAATGATTTACAAAAAAAAAATATGAAAAATAGCTCAAAGATTAAAAAAAAAGATGCATGTTCTAAGAAAATGGAACTATGTATCTTTCTCTTTCTAACCGAACAGATGGGATGTACTAAATTTAGCTTTGTTCCTTCACAGCATCAGAAGATATTTTAGGACCATTTTCCCTAGAGTCCAAAGGATTGTCCAAATTTGTGCTGGTGTGTTGAGAGGTTCCCTGGTGTGGAGCAAAGAGTTAGATAAGCTCTCTTTTGGAATTTTGGAAAAAAAAATTTTTGAACATTGCAGCTTGTATTCCAAGGGCCGTTCCCTGCCCTCTACTACACATATTCTTCCAATTCATGATCGAAGTAATATTTGGCTGTTGCCACATATTTTTGCCCTTATGTTAGCTGTGAAACCCAAAACACCTCCTTACACAGGCTTGCTGTCATTGCCAAGATGTTGTGCAAACTGGTACATAAAATATTTTGAGAGAAAAACATGCTTCAGTGCATTGGCTTTGATTCCCATATTCAGATTCACTCTGACTTAAAGGGACTTAATGAAAATCATCTGTTTTTTCCTCAACATTCAGTTTCTTCCTGTTGAAGGACACTTCAACTGCACATTAAAAGCAGCACATCATAAGCTTATGTGGATGATAACATGTACATACTATATGAGAGCACATGACTGATTATGAATGAATTAGGTTATTTCCATTGATGCAGTCTCCATATTTTTTTATCTCCACATTTTTAAAAAGGGAATTTAAACAATTCAATTTTGTTAGTTTGAGAGGCAGACAGAGACAAAAAGAACTCCCATCTAGTAATCTACTTTC